AGCACATGTGTACAAACCTATGTGGCTTTTCTTCACGGCTTAGTTTAATAATCATGTTTAATAATTTTCTTGATTAGTAAAGAAAAAAAACTATATAACTAATTGATGAATGTAATAGATGTTCACGAACTAATAGTTTATAGGAAATTTATTTGTTGCTTTCTTATATTTATAATGACGGACTTCTTGAACAAAAGAAGAGCAACTAGAAATGTCTCATGTATTTCTCACACCATTTGTTGCTAGTGTGAGCGCAAAGTATATGTAACCAAGATAAACGTTGTACTACTCAATGTTTCCATGAGAAATTGTGTAGCAGTATGGTACAGTAAATATGCTTCAGTGTTTTATATATCGGCTGTTAATGAATTCACCGCATTTTCTCTAATTAAGACAGCCGTAATCCAAGTCCAGATTGTCAATCTTTATTATGATATATATGAATATGTATACGTGATATGGATTTTTTTTGTGTTATATAATTTCACTAGTTTTCCTATAATTTGATATCGGTAATAGAACACATTTACGAAGTTGTATAAAAAATGTCATTTATATATTGAAACTGGGATTTTCACATTTATTAATATTCAAGTTTGTTTTAATTATTCGTGAACAAACTGTAGATACGTAGGCGCCCAACCCATATTTTGTATAATAACGATATAAAATCTCCTTAGTATTTTACTCATTGGTTCATTAGCTGCCAGTGTTCCAAATTTCAAATCGATCGTATAGTTTTTCTTTTAAATATTGACATTTCAAAAAATATTCTTTTGTTTTTTCTGCAAAATGGATAAAATTGAGCTAGGAGCTGTGATAAAGTTTTTGCATTTAAAAGGATTAAAAGGTGGAGAGATTTTTTCGGAGATGAAGGATGTTTTGGGAGAAAATGCTCCTTCATATGCGACCATAAAAAATTGGGTGGCTGAATTTAAACATGGCCGTACCAGCACCCAAGATGAACATCGTCCAGGACGTCCAAAAAGTGCCACTACTCCAGAAATTGTGATCAAAATTTATGATGCAGTTTTAGCTGACCGAAGATTGAAACTTTCCGAGATAGCTGATACTGTAGGCATCTCTAAAGAACGGGCGCATTACATTTTGACTCAAGAATTAAGTATGAAAAAATTATCCGCAAGGTGGGTGCCGCGATTGTTTACAGTTGACCAAAAACGCGTTCGTATGCAAATTTCACAAGAATGTTTGGACCGCTTTAAGAGCAATCCAGCTGATTTGCTGCGACGATTTGTTACTACAGACGAGACTTGGGTTCACCACTATATACTTGAATCAAAAATTCAGTCTAAGCAATGGACGGAAAAAGTATCCGCGGCTCCAAAGAAAGCAAAAGCCGTGAAATAAGCGGGGAAAGTCATGGCATCAGTATTTGGGGATTCGAAGGGTATATTGATCACAATATAAAAATTTTCATTAATAAAATTTAAAAAAATATGTAGATAACAGAAGTCTGTTAAAATCTAGAAAACAATGAATGCCACGAGTACACGAGATCGTAAGCTCTAGTTACGAAGATGAAATACTTTTTATTGCATTCTGAATTACTGTTACGAAAACTTCAAGACTTTTTTTCTATGTACACCGCAAATTAATAAATATCCATATCACATTACTGTTAAAGGGCAAACAAAACATTTTCAAAAACTAATTTTTGCAATACATTAATGTGTAATTGCCCTAAACAAAACGATGGTACTGAAAGTTCTCACAGTCTAATTTATCGGCTAGCAGATCTCCGAACTCATCCGGAAAATTATGTGGCCAATAACATGGTTACGACCAAGGAACTAATAGTCGAGGAAATAGCTCAATGTGCCTTGGCAGCAGTGTTATTAAGTTTCAACGACAAAGGTTTTTTTCATTAGTCCTCTCGTAGCAACAATATTTTCTTCTTTGAAAGCCTTTCAAATAGGTACAAAGACAGTTTCAACAGACGGACGATGCAGTGAGCGGAGTGAACACTGACGGCAAATATGGCATATTCTCAATATGCACATTTCATTTGGTATTTAGTGTAAATGGTTTGAGTCATGTTACATAGCAAAGAAACTGAATAAACATTATGGCCCATTTAAAGCAAAATAAAATCGCAGAATACTTGAGTAATACAAAATAAGGTATTTTTTCACAAACACCCGACTAATTACAATTTCATCTATATCTTTTCTATTGTTTTTATACGATATTTCATGATAGGTCATCATAACTTTTATGCTTAGTTAAAACAATAAATAGAGAAAAAAATAACCAGATACCTTCTAAAAAATATGCCCATTGATATTATTATTTTTCAGTCATCACTCCTGTAGAATCAAATAAGGAGAACGTTTCGATGCACGGGGAAGCTCAAGATAATACATTATAGATCATCCATCCTGTGACTGACCTTTTTGAAAGTTGCTTAGGCTCCGCATTCCAGACTGAACGCTCTAATCACTGTGTCATCAAACATATTAAAATGGCTTTTCAGTACTATAATAAAATAAGTACTCAACACTTTTATACAAGTAAACCTTTTTTAGTAGATTTAGCGTACCGTTGATCTTTCCATTACCCTATTTTAAACTCAATTTAAGAAATAATTTCTTTTTTCCCTTTCACCGTTGACATAATGGTAACATTCCAACAACAACTTTTGTTCGTTTGCATAAAGAAACGAGGCTCTGTCAACGCCACAGAATAGATTATGCAGTGGTCAACGAATGCAATTCATCCAATTTACCACCACATCATAAACAAAAATACAATTTTCCACGAGAAACTTTAGAACAACCGCCAATAATTATAAGCTTTAAATACTTGAATTTGTAAAATAAGAACAATATCGGATCACTGCGTGACCCATCTATCAGATCGCTGTGTACTTAGATGATTAGTGTAAAATCCCCTATCTAAGCTATCGACATCAACACGAACCTCGAGACCAGTTTGTAAGTATGGTCATAGTCGGTAGATGGGGCTGAAAAACGGAATTTACAGAATTTTATAAAATACAATTTTAGCGTTGCAATTGTTCACTTCAAGTCTGAAGAATTATTTTATTTATTATTCTTTCGTAGTTAAATTAATATGCCACAAAAATTACATCGTGCATTAAAATGAATGGAGACCTAAAACAACAATCGTTAAGGTTTAATGATTCTGTGGCCATGTTTTTAAAGGCTCAGTTTAAATATTACATATTCATAAAGTTCTGTAAAAACTCACTTTTTATACTGGACGCTGTGAGGAATAATGGTTATAACTTCGGTCTTAAAACCGCACATTAATTAATTGTAAAAAACAAGAACTTACTTAATTATGTGAGGACAATATCGGTGATCAATATTAAAAAATGCACTTTTATTTATTTTGAGAAATCAAAAGCCGTATAATTTTTCTTTGAATAATAACCTATACTTACCTACTTGTTATTTTTTTATGTACTCCGGCCTTGACTCCACCGTCTTAGAGAAATGCTACTTTTTAATTAATGTTATAATTGTATGAAAATGAATATTTTGCAGCCTTATATTAAGTATCTAGCTATATTGTTTTGCTTTTGATTAAGTTATGAACTTACCTATATAAGCTACCTGGTAAATCTATTAACAGTTACAGCTATAAAATACCATACACACATTTTGTAGCTGCTTCCATCGTTCAATTGGTACTTAGATTGAAGAAGGCCTTTAATATTATTGTCATAAGCAGTTTCCACTTGTCGGACCGATACAGTATTTTGTAAATATAGTTTCAAATTTCCCAACCTATACAGCTTTATATTGATTTGATTGTTTGGTATTGATAAAGTTTTATATTATTTGTGTTTCAATTTTTAATACTAAATACCGATTTTCCATACTATTATATGATATTTGGATACATATCAGCATATCAGGTTACCAAAAATATTAAATCTGCAGTTGATTTTGAACTTAACTTTCACTTCAATAATGTTAAAACTTAAGTAATGCTCATTCTGACGTACCACTCTTTAAAGTGTATGTGTATTTGTACTCTAAAGAATATGAACTATTTTTAATTTGTTTGTTGCCGTAATTTTAATTCATCAGTAGTCACATGTGATCAAACAAATAAATAATTGTACTCCAGTATACTAAAGTATTATAGTAATAGTTATATAACTATACTTTCTGTTATCTTAGTTAATGTAATTGAAAACGCAGTTTGACAGGTCTTACCTTTTTAGTCTAGTTTGTTCAACAGGTTTGCTACCATTTTTACATCATCTGATGTAAAAAATATCGAGTGTACTATTCATTGTATCATAACCCCATAAATAAATATTTTTGATTAATTACTGAGGTTAATTTGAAACCATGTTACAGGGTTTTAACCTCAGTTAATAAAATATATATTTTTTGTTAAATAACATATATATTTGTTCATAGTTACAAATAAGTAAAAGAGGATTTAAATTTAAGTCACATAAGACGACGAAACTTTATAGATATATTTTAATTAAATAATAAGTAATAAATACAATATGACGTGACTGCCTATGGATTCAAAATTACGAGTAGAAAATATACTTTTCTTACTTTGTTCCCAAGGGGTTATCTTCGGAAATACTGCTTATAGCTTATTTCATGATTGGGTAATCATGAAATAAGCTATAATTTACGCAGGCTACTCATGAGACAACAGTATAAAATATAATAATAAGATGCTACTATAAATAACATAATTTACAATTAATTATATATTTCTAAAGTAAATGTTCATTTGGTTTCTTGCAAATTTCAATCTAATTTTAGAAATAGATAGTTATAACTTATTTTGGAATTTGGAACCGAGTGTTAACGTTACAGAAAATTAAGTACAACTTGACTAGAAAGTGTAGAAACCTCAACCATTATATTCTCATTTTATATATATTTCTCATTTTTTTTAAAACATCATAAATAAAAGTCGATGCTAGGATTAAAGTCAGATCACGTCAGTTGCCTTTATGAAATTTCCCGTAATTTAATTCAGCTTGAACAAAATCAAATCATATATAATGTGGAGAAGCATCAGTGTTAGAAGCAGGTAATGGCGTTGAAGTAGCAGCGAAGCACGCGGCCGCGCACTCCCGGCGCTCCACCGCTTTGACCGCGTCGCTGCAGGCCCGTCTGCAGCGAAAAAACACATTTTTGGCTAGACGATCAATCTTGATCATGATCAGCAGGAATTCATGAACACAATCTCAAGTTTAATGCAATCCAATGACGATCTCAATTTTTGTCCAATTGTTATACGTTTACTCTTGAAACTCAATTTCATAAGAATGTTTATTTAATCTTTCATGGTCTTTATTGAATTTACATTAGAATTAGTTTTCTAAGGGATGATTCTACGTGATGTACGTTGTTATTATTGAGTAAAAAAAGATTAAATCAAAGAGAGCAATTCACTTTTCTTGTCAAAGTTTATTTCACCAGTTATTCTGAGGCAAGACTCCACTGGTGGTAGATTACGATAACCAGTAATAAATAAGTAAAATGTATTTTTAACATAATTTAATCTAATAAACGTAAACGTTTCCATAAAACATATATTTTTTTGTATTGTGAATGTGTCCAATAGATTTGTTTTGAAGGTATACTCTTAATTAAAAGGACAATCAACACCTTAGCCTTATGCAGTATTATGTTTTACCTACGGCCTTATGTGACGGTCTACCGGGAAACCTGTTAAGAGGAATAAAACGTCAACAAAACTAAATACAAACGCGATGAAATCGTTTCATTTGTCATATATAATTGTTCAAATTTTAAAATGAGTAGCTAAAGCAATCATATTATGAAGAAACAGCAAAGGTGCCACAACACTCAAACCCGAGAAAGTATATAAATATAATTTTCTATATTGTCCCGACCGGGAATTGAACTTGTGGCCGGTAACGCTTGGCAGGTAACGCCTTGACGGCCGTTTCTGTTGATAATATTATCAGATTTTAGAATATAATTTTTACGACTTCATATTATTGGTATAAAAAATAGAAATAACAATTTATATCATATAAAATTGTTAAATATAATTTTTATCAGAATAATAAACAAGAAACATAAATGCAAGTAAAGAAGTACAACGTTTAATGTTTTTTTACATACGTCGAATAAGGGATAAATTAAAACGAAATTAGAATGTTTTAAATCTAAGTGTAATAAATAAAAGATTAGCTTTAAATATTTTTATGTATGTTCCGTATTAGAAATAGATTGTCCCCTTTTCCTTTCTCAATTTTCATCTGACCCAGAACATCAATAGTTAAAGTCATTGCCTTGAAGGGGGTGTCAAGAGGTAGATAAATAATTTGAAGTTATATAGGGCGGAAGGTGACAGTTATCTATGATAAATTGACATAGGAGATAATGTGACCCCATTATGATGTGATGTGCTAAATATTAACACTTTATTTAATATGAGTACATAATTAACTGAAGAGAAAACACAATTAAATCAGGAGGATTTTTAGTGAGAAACGGTGGTTATGCTGAGAAATATGTTTTTAAACAATATTCGCAAAGACCGGTTATAGGATGGGTGTCCAAATATATATAATCTCGTGCTCCTCCGTGCACGTTACCGCATTGGTCCCGGCTGCATTTCCAGTCTTTAACACCCACAAATCCGCACTAGGGTTATGACCTCTTCCTATTCATTGTTGTTATAAGGCACTGTCGCCTAATAAGGTCCACATATTATGACTGCTATAGTGTAAAAAATTCAACAAGAATGCGTTTCAATTAAAGTCCTGTATCGACCGATTATTAAGGCAGATTAATGTTATAAAACATTTATCATAGTTGAGTTTTTAGATCTCCAGTGTTTAAAAACTGTGGGTCATATCAGGGATCGTAGCCGTTCGTAGCAAATCGTTGCGTTTTAAAAATACTACGAATATATATATAAGTTTCAGGTGACCGTAGAACTTTTATATTACAATATTATCATGTAAAAAAGTGGTTATTAAAAATATCAGCTCATTAACACTGTTAATATTTTAACTTTATCTATAGAGCAATAAGGTTTTAAAATTAAGTGGAAAAAATTGGTGTTTTGTATAGCCTGGCTTGTTTTTGATAGTACCTATTGAGTATGAATGGGACTGATTTTATCCCGTGTTGTGTAAATGTATGATTTGTAAATTTAAAATTAATCTTCTTATTGTTTAAGGATAATTACCAGGTCTTCATGGCGTAGACGTAGGGGCTCAACACTCAGGTCTTCTGGCTCCAGCCATACTTCGCGATTGCTGTCATCGATTGCGTCATTCTGTAACTATAAAATGGATAAATACAGAAGGTCTACTCAGTTAAATTATCTCTATGCTATATTTACAAGAGGATAAAATTTCAATTAAATGAGTCGTAAACGAACTATATTTTAGGAGTGATCCTTCTGTATCTATCTATTTTATGGGGGAGCCTACCTCCTTAGGATAAGACCACGAAATTTAACGAGGACCACAATTTTTTTCATTAAGATTGATACGTGCCTTTAATAAGTGATTGTAATTTTTAAATACAATACATAATCGTTATTGAATTCGAATTTAATGCTCTTAACGTTAAATGGAAGTTGGAATGACTGCGTAAAATTGTGTACCTAGAATTGAATTCATATTAAAGATTGTAGTGATGGTTAGATCAGTTACTCGAGTATAAATATTACCAAGTCATTTGCCACCCGGAGTGGTGCAGTCCGCGGGCCATCACTGTCTACTTGCTCGTAACTGGGAGGAGGGTTGTCATGCAGAGCTTTCTGCAATGCAATTAGCAATCTGTCCAGAACTAATGCTGCTCTCTTCTGAGGCACTGTGATCTGAAAAACATGTTTTTAAATGAAAACCAACTGCGTATTCGTTCATACGTTACTTTTCTGTTCAAAATTAATATCGTGTAGTAAATAATCTGTTACAAATGTTGGTAATGTCTTAGTGATGTTTGTAATCAGTTCAATGAAATAAACTGAACGAACTCTATTAGACAGATACTTATAGTTTAAATGTGAAAATAATAATATTACTTTTTCTAATTTAGTTAATACATTTTTTCAACTTGTTACTTTTTCCTTTCTAAGGCTTAAAAGCTTATCTTTGACTTCTAGAAATATCCCAATTTCTCAATACGAAAATTAACTAATCAGTTCATCCATCCTCGAATTTTATATTGACCAACAAATGTTTCTTATATAGGGATTTTTTATTCTCGTCCATCGCACCAATGAATCTTATTTTTTGGAAAAAAGATGTTAGAATTAAACAATCTATATTTATCTTTCGTAAAAAACCCACTTTGTCCCAGGACTCGAACCCACGACCTTTCTAGGCAATTGCTCTAAACACTGAGCTATCCAGGACCTAACAGGCCTGACGATTTTTTCATGCATTTGTTACTTTTACGCTACTACAGAGCGTATTTTCATCAATGCTCAAGCAAACCACCCAAACAGCCGTTTTTTTTTAAATAGTTTAACTTCCGATAAAAATGAAAATTTGTTCTAATTATTATATTTGATCAATTTGGTAATCACAATGCTATACCGAAAAATATTCTTTAACAAGTAATAAGTATCTATCATAAGGTTTGTTTTTACTCCGCCCAAAGTTTATGTAAGTATTGCAAATACGGAAGTCTCTAGAGAAAAAGCCACCTTTTACTGGGTGGCACTTGAAAGGATTCTCAAATCGCTTCCTTAACTTTATTTCAAAATAAAAACAATAAAAAATACCAATGAATTACAACCGTCCCTAATAAATTGTTGGCAAAACTTAAATTTTTAAATTTAGTGCGTGCACGTGAAAGATTTTACGCGAAGGACGCGTGAAATAAATTACATGCTTGACCGCCCCTTTTTAAACTCTCATAAATGTAAACACTTCATATGAATTTACTTTTTTGACAACGTTTTTTGAAATCAATATGTGTAAACGATATAATATTAAAAACATGAATATACTTGGCCCCACACATGTGAGTGAACTCACATATACTTTTTAAAAACTCTATTTGCGTTGGAAGTTTGTCAACAAACTATTAGGTACAGTTTATTTCTATTCAAAGAGTCTATTTTAAAAGCCAAGAAACATTATGATGAAGGAAAATTAGTAAGACCAAAATATTCAGACGCAAACAACAAAGACAGATTTGTGACTCTTTATCGAGATTATTAAAGCCGTACCATTTTTGAAGATATCGACATTTCGTCTCAAAAAGTGAATTCGATACCAAAAACGTTCGAGAAAGGTCGGTTAGACTACATAGACTGTAGCAAAGTCCTGGTTTATGATCTGTGTATGGTGGAAAGTGAAGCGTATTGCCCAATAGTTTTACCATTCCGACCTGAACTATCAGTTCGGATCTATACTTACTGCTAACAACTGACAAGATCAAACCAGAAGTTAAGAGACAGTGGCTAAAATCAATCGTTAAATAGGGTTTATCTTTCATTAAGATAACGATAGAAAACAAACATTTTTAGCCATTCACCAAAAATTAAGATTTTGGTTGTTGGCGGGTGTAGACAGTAAACTAAAATAAATATATATTAGTTTCTGATAGCGTTTAATATACTATTATCTATAAAATCAAACTTTTATGCTTATAATATTGCATATATTGATTATTAAAAGTCAAATATTTAATACTCGTTGTCACATGAACAAAACAGCGTCTTACGCGCCAGCGACCTAATTCCGACCTATAGCCCTGACTTTTCACATCACCGGTGTGGATGTATTTTTTAATTCTACAGCAACTGGATCGTGTCACTACTTACAAGATGGCAATAGTTGCTTTCACCAAATTCATGAAAGTACTATGATATTGTAGTTATTTATTGTTTATTTTTAAATTTCTAATAAATTGGTAAACTTACTGGATAATCTTCGTAAGTGTTTGGGGGTGCAGCAAGAGCAGCAGACAAAGCCACAAGCAGCAACGGAACTGGACTTCGCATCATCTTCTTTTCATTACACACCGAACCTCTGCAAATACATTCACAAACAAAGGTATTATTATTTAATAATATATAACATAAATCAACTTTATCTTCCTTGTTCTTATAACATTGCTATTATTTTCTTGTTCCTATCACCCCAAAATCAACCCTCATCAGGAAATCTTGCTTATCTGAATCAGGTTACCCTATATTGCTAAGGTGGTCGGATATGAGGCGCTGAACTAGATTCTGACTCCTTGCTCGAATCGACTAGTATGTGGCAGAAAATTAATAATAACCAAAAATTTTAACACCAATCGCACCATCGCCGATTACTAAACTCTTTGGAATGCCGGTGTGATGGTTTCTTTCTTATTATTTCGATGTATTTTAAGCATTTAAAAAAAGCATTCTATACATCTTCTTCATATAAACTTTAGCTCTCCGTATGTACACATAAATTAGTATGCGTACATTTTGAAAAAAGTTTTAAATACCTTTTGCTTAATTTATTAGTAAAATGATTTATTTATTTCTTATAGAAAATTGCAGTCCACAGTTATAGTACAAACGTTTTAATACCTAATATTAAGCAACAAAAATACACAATAGCAATATAAAAATAAACCAGAGTAGGTGTTATAGAAACCATTATAGCCAGGCTCTATAAATAGAATGTCCTGCTGTGAACTCGTGTGGACAACCTGCCCAAAATTTCTTCGTGCACCGTAAACAACTTAAGACGAATATCGGGAAACTTCCAACCCTTGGCCGTTAATTTACATAAAGGTTTCGTGACCAATAATATGATTGTCGTATTTATAGTTTTTTTTATGGTTGGCGTTGCAGTAAATGTTACCTCATCTGTATTTGACTGTTACAAGATTTATATGTTCAAAAATGTTTTCAATAGAATAACAAAATTGGATAAATAACATGGATTGACTAATTGAATCAGGGCCCATCACTTGCATCGTCCGCCATAGAGATGGACATCGGTGGGTTTTAGTGGGTATGATCCTGCATTTCTATTAGTCCCCTTCTGGAGGTGGGCCTGCAGGACCACATAACCTCGTGGACCTGCACAGGGGAAGCGAGGTAGGCAGCAATGCATTTCCCACCGTTAAAAATAAGAAAAGCAAGTTTTTTCACCTTTTTTCATTAGCTTTTTATGAACTTTTCTTTTATTCATGGAAATCCACAGAAAACGTCCGGAAAATTGAAAAAATGTGGTACATCTATGTTTACTTAGACTTTTAGTGCATCGCTTTTTTTGTAATAGATGTACTACACTTTTGAAAAGGCAACCATAGCTGTTGAGTAACGAACAAAAAACGGTTTCATTTTATTGAAAACTAGCTGTGCCCGCAACTTTGTCTGCGTGAGAAGTATTTTGGTAGAATTCTTTTATTCCAATGAATGGAGTCGAATCGAATAAGATCAATGAGCCATAACCCACTGTGCTTAATGCGGATCGGTGGGTGTTCACGTTGCTGATACAGCCAGGACTAACGGCTTAAAGTGCATTATGCCAGTGCTGTGCACAGTGCTCAAGATAATAATGTTTTGGTCACCCATCCTGTCCTTACGAATGTAATTTTTCTATCTTTTTTCTCGTTTCTCGCGCTCTGGTTGTCGCTTGTGTCTGAGAATTTTATTCGTACCTTGAAACTGTCCTTCTTTTGGTTTTGATATTTTTAAATTATTATTATTTGTCTAGTTGTATGCACAATCGGCTATTTATTATTCCATGTAATGCTAGGTTGCCTGGAAGAAATCGCTTGCTAGCGATGAGTTTGTCGTTTGTACTTAGTTATGTAAAATAAGTATTCAAGTATGTCCTTGTTTATTTCACTGCAATTTAAACCGAATGCGCTAACCCACTACGCCGTCGGACCTCTTATACCTAAGATATATTATAAAGAGGTAAGACTTGGTTGTTTGCATCGAATTTGACCCAAAACTACTGGACCGATAGTTTTAGAGCGATTCTACCAACGGGAAGCTACATCACGGATGTCATAGGCTATAATTTTGCGGCAAAGTTGCGGAAAAACAGCTAGTTCACTATACCTTGTGAAAACTTATCTGCGGTACGCCTGTGGAGTATGAAGGCAACACGGGTTGGCGATAATCGAAACTACTTTCTCGATCTCTATTGTGTAAACTGCGAGCTCTTTCAAAGACCAAGCGCATTTCTCTATCAAAGGAAGTTTCATACTCATACCATACTGCATGTATGTTACGGTTAGCAGTTAGACGCGCTATGCGATCTTCAGAAGTTTCCTGAGATCAAACGCTTGTTGTATGAGTTCTCCGAGAGCTCAAGAGATTGTCCCTGACGGTAAATGCTTCAGATTCAACTTTATAGTGCATGAGCCTCGCGATGGGTAGTTAAATACGCTTCGCGTTATTCAGGTGTTTCCCTAGACCGAACGCTTTCCGTCCAATCTCTTTCTTTGTAAATAAATTCGGTCGGTACATGTCTGACGGAAGATACGTGGAGTTTTATTTATTGATGATATAAAAAAAATATATACATATTTTAATTGGATTAAAGAGGATGGGTCACGACCTTCTATGCTGGGCCAATGCGAATTGGAGGATATCAACGACTGCAAATACAACCAGGACCAATCGCTTTACGTGCCTTACAAAGCTTGGAGTTGCTTGAGATTATATGACTTTCCACACTCGAAGGAAATCATCTACTAATACGTACTTCCGAGAGATGCTTAACTGAGCTTCCGTCAGATTTGAACGGCCGTCATCATCATCATCAGCCCTTTTACGTCACCAACTGCAGGAGCCTTTTGGATTAAGGAGGATGGGCCACGACCTTCTATGCTGGCCCAATGCGAATCGGAGGATATCAACGACTGCAAATACAACCAGGAGTAATCGCTTTACGTGCCTAACAAAGCTTGAAGTTGCTTGAGATTATATTTTTTGGTCACCCATCCTGTGACCGACCTTTGTGAAAGTTGCTTAACAACTACAATCGCGAGTCATGGCGTTTATTCACTACGCCACCGAGCTACTCTGAATCGATCCTCAGACTCGCGTTATATTATATGTGTTGTGACAAATGAATAAACCATTGTTTCCGGCGAAGACTGAAAATACCAACTTTGAAGTACGTATCTACAGCAAATTTGTATGTTAAAAAAAACAAAAATAGTATTAATATAAAAAATTGTAATAAGAGAAAAAAAAAATATTAATCGAGTTGTCTTTACCTTCTTAACTTCAGTTGGCGTGAATCTAACTTTTTAAACGTTGTGGAAAAGCTTCTGTCATTGTCTCTGCTACGGAGCAAGCAACAGGGGGTGAGTAGGATTGTCCTCCGTGAACCCGATAGTGAACTGCCCTCGGAGTAGCTCGGTGGCGTAGTGGATAAGCGCCGCGGCCCGCGATCGTTGTCGTTAAGCAACTTTCGCAAGGGTCGGTCACGGGATGGGTGACCAAAAAATTATTATCTCGAGCTACTCCGTGCTTCGGAAGGCACGTTAAGCCGTTGGTCTCGGCTGTAATTGCAGTCGTTAATACCCTCCAATCCGCATTGGGCCAGCGTGGAGGGTCATGGCCCATCCTCCATCCATAAGGAAGGCCTGAGGCCCTGCAGTGGGGACGTTAAAGGGCTGATGATGATGACACCGGGACACTGATCTCATGGGAGATGAGACCCGGCAAGCTATGGCCGCGTCACCAGAACACTCAAGTATTGGACTTGACATTGGTCCCCTTGCAGATGGAAAATTGGAGAGGCTCGGGTAAATCGGGTGCCTCTCCCAGATAGACGAATCCGCGCAATGCGGGGGCTGCCAACCACCTCCGCTGGCCCCGACGACGACGATAACCTAATCTGATAAAAATATGCGTTCACGGTAAGCTACTCGATGCTTAATTGCATCATCGGAAGGCTCTTTTCGCTTGTTCTCCTACTTGCGTGATCGTATACCACACTTCCATTATAAGCTGAACCCTATTTAATATCATTGGCCATTTATAAATGAGGTCAACTTACTTTGGCGATTTCAAAATTTTGGAATCCTTTTTTTTATTTTTCATCATACAATTATCATTTTATAGACAATATTGATTCGTAGCTGGGTGGCGCTACGGATAAGCGCCACTGCACACGATCGATATTGCTAAGCAATTTTCGCAAGAGTTGTTCACGGGATGGGTGACCAAAAATTATTAAACAAAGGCCTGAGGTCCTGCAGTTTGGCTGTCAAAGAGTAAATGATGATGATCAATATATCAAAGACGAAAATTTAATAAAACAGTTAATATTTCATAGCAATTTTGGCGAACACGTCACTTCAAATTGACATAACTTTTTTATTTGTCAACCGGTTGAAATAAATCTTACACCAAATGTTAATGAAGGAATACCACAATATAATAGTGAAAACTGCATTTAAATTGGTTCAGCCGTTTCTGAGATTATCGTGTACAAACGCACAGACAAAGAGATAAAAAATTTAAAAATCATTGTTTTGTGTTCTGTTACGCTTATTAATGTCCCTCATAACAGATTTTTTCATATATCTTCAATGTACAGACATCGATCGGTTACGTTTTTATTATAGTATAGATTTAAATCACAGCACAAAATAATTATTATTATCAGCTGCATAACTGTGCATAACATATCGTAACAATCTGGCAGCTCAAAAGTGAAGCTATATGTTTCCAATTCTTCTGGTCGTCTTCTATTGATCTGATCGTTAGTAACAGAGGAGGGAAAAAGTTGATAAAAGAAGCTAAAAAAAATGTTTTTCAGTGGAGTCACGGTGGTTTTTAGGGTTCCGTAGTAAACATGGAACCTTTAAAGTTTCACCGTGTCCGTCTGTCTATCCGTCGTTTAGCTCATAAACTATTGGTACTAGAAAGTTATAATTTGGCATAAGTATACACATTAATTACGTCGACAAAGTGGTGAAATAAACAAATAAAATACGTACCTTTCAAAGACATGGGGATGTGGGAAGGCCGTTTTTAGTAAACCGGTTATGACTTATAAGAATCCAGTGTCCC